GTTACTTATTTTAATGAAAGAGGAATATAAGTAAAAGTATTATTATAATCTGTTAAAATAAAATGATAGTTAATTTGGTTTACCAATTCTGTCGTGATCCTAGTTTTAAATTTATATCTCACTGAAAAATTAGAGAAAGCTATTAGTAACATCACTGTGAAGAGATAATTTTGGATTATGATATGTGTGTGTGAGTAACGGTGTAAAGTGTAACAATGAGCAAGAAATAAACAATTGAGCATATGAATATAAATTAAACAACTACACTTGTTAATAACAATAATTAGTGATATATGGTTATTAAATCTAAAGTGAAATGTGTTCAAACTATTTTCAATAAATCTTTTTCTGAAGTTATTGATATGACCGGTGAATTTTCGTTCTTTCTGGTAGTGGTAGTTTATGAGTTATCTTTAATAATGCGTATTTAATTAACTCCTACTACATTGATGATGTTCTCATTTTGTTTATATTGAAGTCGGTTGTATAAAATGTTTAATTTTACCACTTGTAATATCTCCATTCAGTCACTCACGAAACCTCGACATAAATAGGAAATACTATTAATTATACTATATTGTTGCTTCTCAACACCCGCCCTTAAAACAAATTTGAAATACTTTTAAACTGTTTTGAATATCTGTTGTTTGAATCCTGAAATAAATTGAATAAAACTACTTTTACGGATTTTATCGTGTTCAATGAACGAATGAATGAATTCTGCGTAGATCGGACCAAAATTAATAATTAAAAAAGCTGAAGGTGCTCCGGGTTAACTTTTACATCGGGACGTCAATCACCTGAGTACCCGGTGACCATGGGTAAAGATAAGTTAATTAAACGCGATAAAATCCGTAAACTAGTTTTATTCAATGTGTAGTGTTCGCGTAAGCATAACAAATCATTACTGAAATGTAATAAATATGACAACTGAAATGATTATACAGAAACGCAAATCATAATAATTGGCTCGATATAGATTAATGCTAAATCGCTAATTTTAAACGTGTACCTAAGTTATACCAAATGAAAAGGCTTATTATTATTAGGTCAATTTCTATAAATTCTTTTTTAATTTCATCATATGAAAAATAAACAAAATCGAAGAGTTTAAGCGCAATCGGCCAATGCCCGCCGAGGCATCTTTGAAGTTTGACATACGTTGTTTGTTCTAAATTCCTCCCCGCTTTGGTATTAATTCACCCGACAATTGCAGAGTGAGGTAACGTTTTCAAACCTACATACCGTACTACAAGACGGCTTTAACTTGCACAATAGAAAATGTGAAATATTATACAAATAGTCATGATGACTTACATTTCAAAACGGGCTGTTACGAAAGATTAGTAAATTATTCAAGTAAAGTATCATTCATCATTTTCGTCATTACAACGGTGCACAGGGAGAGAAAGAGGCTTCTCTCAAGGAATGCAACAAAGCCCGGTACTGAACCATAAATATCATTATCCTTATCATTATCGTTGCAGTAAATATGCATTGATTTATAAGATGCTATCGAGTTCTGACTAACTTTAATTTCACATTTTCTAGAATATTTTTTTCAACTGGTTTTAAAGGTAGCAAAGGGTACCCGTCCGTGTTAGCCAAAAGGTCGATCACTCGTCTTAAAAACTTCATAATACACGAGCAAAATTTATTAGATCCCGAAATATGTCGGCAACGCAAAAATTGTTAATTGCATTTTATAATGTTTTCAAAGTTTTTAAAAAGTTTGTAATGTGTTTATAAAGTTTTACTGATTCTATCGCGTTTTATTTAACTTTTTAATTCCCGACGTTTCAGTGCTGTACAGCACCCATGGTCACGGGGGAGGGGGAGGGGACCTTCAGTTTTTGAATATTAATTTTTGATTCGATCTACGCAGAATGTGCATAGAGCATCTTGAAGTCTTGCAGTGGTATACTTGGGTTTGGATTTAGTTTTATTAATTATAGGATCCCAAGCAGATGCCAGCACCCTTCCATCTTCTCTATTGTAATTTGGATGTTTTTTAATTTCAATAGCCTCGCGAATCATCCTTAGTAGGAATCAGTGTTCTTTTGCGAGGATTTCTGGTCTATCAAATTTAATGTAATTAACTATCAAATCAAATACCAAACATCCAGAAACGAAACGGAACAACCGTTGACCACAGACACAAACAATAAACAACGCACGGTCTATATGCTGTCAAAACAAACACTGGACGAACCTAAGAGTATTGTCGTAGAGCTTGAATTTTGCAACAACACCGCAATGAATCTCGTACAAAGAAATTATCTGTAGTGTTGAGGATTGTCTGTTTAAGAATAATATTGATAAGGAGGATTTAGAGGCCAAATGTCAAGACATTTCATCCTTGTTACGTCGAAGTTCAGCGCTGAAACTAAATCTCCCCAAAGTCGAGTTTAAGGCGAGTCTAAGTTGTACAACTTACGCAACAGACCAGAGCTCACGATTCTTCACGAAATGCTACGGTAATAATGGACACGTCAGAGTATCATTTCATAATACAACAACTTTTATCGGACTTAAGTATATACAAAAAGGTCAAAATAGACCCTACAAATAATACACTTAAAGCAACTACTGATTTAATAAAGAAATACTCCGAAAAATTTAATCTCGACGTAAATTCGACAATACCATCATGTGCCAAACAACCAAGGTTGTATGGGTTAACGAAAATACACAAAACAAACGTTCCACTACGTCCCATAGTGAGCCAGACCGATTCACCAACTTATAAGTTGACTCAACACTTGGCAATAATACTGTCACCACTGAGAGCACACACCAAAGCACACACAAAGGATTCATACCATTTTGTTAGTTAGATAAAAGACCTACATCTTGCTGACAATGAAACTAGGTTCAGTTTTGATGTTCTGTCAATATTCACATGATTACCTGTTGAAGACTGCATCGCAATTGTAAATAGGAAGCTAGAAGATAACAAAATGCCTACAGAATATACAGAATTACTCAAACACTGCCTCACACTGGCTATCTATTGTGGAAGGAAGAGCTCTACGAGCAAGTAGATGGTGTAGCGATGGGCTCACCTGTATCTCCCGTAGTCGCGGACACATTCTTGGAGGACTTTGAAGAGAAAACCCTTCTTACTGCTCCTGTAAATCCAAGACTCTACAAGCGGTACGTAAACTACTTTCACAATTTTACCATCTGACAGAGTAGCTGTATTTTTAAACAACCTTAATTTCATAAACTCTAAAATACAATTCACAATGGAGTCAGAGGCAAACAACTCCTTAGCTTTCCTAGATGTTTTAGTCATCCGAAATCTTGAGAACACTATTGGTCACACTGTGTATAGGAAAAAACCCATACCAACCGATATTTAAATGGTAAATCGCACCATCATCCATTACAGTTAGCTACCATGGGAAATCCTCTGTTTCAGAGACCTCAAGGGATCTGTGACAGAAAATATCTGGCTGCCGAGCTTCAGCACGTCGAGCAAGCATTGCAAGACAACAAGCTTCGGGTTTCGCGCCTACGTCACAGTGACCGAGTGGAACTGGCCACAGTCGAGCGTATGCCTGCTGCTACATCTTGAAGTGAGCTTCCATTAAAACATACTTCAAGCCGCCGAAGAAGATTACTCAATTTTTACCATCCGTCAAGTGTCATATCCCTCTAAAAGATGCAGGAGTGTACAAGATGGATTGTGCATGTGGTCTCTCTTACATAGGACAAATAAAACGATCTATAAAACCCACGTAAAAGAACATATAGCTGACTTGAAGAACCAACGTATCGGGAAGTCTGCAGATTGTGAACATGTTCTAGATCGTCCCCGCCATTACATTAGATTTGATAGACCATAATCTTAAAATTAAAATATTTTTAGGATATATTGCTATATAAATTTAAAAAATTTAAAAGCCCTGCAGTCATTTCCTGCTCCGTTACCCTAGGTCTGTAATGATGAAGAACGAAAAGGTCGACCATATGTCTTTAATTTGACAGTTACAAGTAAAACAACTTTTGATCCAATTTCTTACATCTATGGGAAAACTTCGAATTTAATGGAAATTGCAATATCTATCATGTGCTTAGTAATCATGGAAAACAACGGAAAGAAACACATATTATCTGAGAAGCTGGATATATTATGCTGGTAATATAAGCAATGTGGTCTTTTCTTTGTTTCGAGGATAATCCAACAAAAAAGAGTGTGTGTCTGGTGTTAATTTTATATCCTATAGTTGCTATTACAAAATGGGCAAAACAAAAATTGAAGTAGTAGAGTTATACTGATGAGCTTCTGAGGTAACATTTTTATTTTTTGCCACCACTCATCTCTGGAGTATTAAGAAACGGAGTACTGTCATGTTTGATATTTCATGTCATATATAAAAAGTTGATATGTTACATTAAGTAAGTTTCTAATACTGTTCTCGTTTCTAGTAGTAATAAAAGGTGCTTTTTGTTTTACGAGTATTGTACCATAGTTATGGCTATTTTTTTCATTAAATTTATAGTAGGTAGGTTTATGAATTTATAGCTTCAGAACTTAAACATGAAAATAAATAATAAAGAGATAAATAAATTTACAACATATTAAAAGGAAACCTCCTTATTTACAGCATTCGAGCAGCTTATAAAGCTTATCTGCTTATTTATGAAAACGACTCTACAAATAATTTGTAGAGTCGTTTTTGTACAAGTGATTTATATGTATATACTATGGCGATGAATATAATCACCTCTAACCCTATTGAAGTATACACTAAAATCCATTGCAACAATGTTGTAGCTTTAACAAGCCGTTTATAATTTGTGTTGAACTTGCAAATACGTCTGACATTGTCCTACATTTTTAGATGAGAGGAATTCTGTTGTAGAAACAAAATAACAAAATAAAAAACAAAATATTTTTTAAAGTTTAATTGAGCTGTTGTATTTATTTACATCGGAAGTATGTCACTAATGATATTTCTAATTAGGTAAATATTTTTTAAACTAAGGCTTACCTTGTAAAATCTCCCATATTGGCAATCAACAATTGAACGGGAAAAAAATCACTTAAAACATTAAAACAACAAACAAACACGATTGATTCAGATTTCGTAGCACAACTACTGTTTAGTATTTTTCTCGTTGCGCGTTGCGAGATTGCAGGTAGATGGCAAGTACGCGCCGTCCGCCACGAACGTATCGGTTCGCTGGCTATGGCGGAGTGAGGCTGTGCTGTATGCCGTAGCTCTGTAGTCGATCGCCCGCCAGTTCGTCCGAGAGAGAAAGTTGCTGAGTTATCAAACTTCGCGGTTACGTCCGTCGATGACGCTATCTTCGCCGATTGCGTATTCGGTGACAAATTAAATTTTCGCGTCCCCCCAGATTACGCGCCACTGACACGGTGAACGGGCACAGTTTTGTGTAGTCCTACTTTGACGTTTACACTGCTATTGTTTACAAATTTTGTAACGTATATAATTATGTAGTTAAATATATATCTTCAACTTTAAAGTTTCTTGGCATCGGCATTAAAGCATTTGAATAGTTTGTACCTAACGAGCTATTTCGTACTCGTTAGATGATCGTTAATATTTTATATTACGAGTATCTAATATGGTCTGATGCATTTTGAGGGCAACATTTTTATTTTTTTTATTTAGAATAAGTAATGCTATTTAAATAATGAAAACTCTAGTTAACCTTGAAATAAGCTTAAAACGTTTAGGTTAGAAGTGGTTCACGATTGTAATCGAAAATTCGAATTCACGACCGAGTTTCCGAATTAGCAGTCCCAACCATTAAACTATTTATCGTTGTAATTATTATCTTTGTAAAAAAATGTTACCTCTACACTAGGATTTTTCTCTGTATCGTGGGGGCAGTTTACATACGTAAATTTATTGAGCACAAACATCCAGACTTGTAGTAATGATTTGTTGGCCATACAATTACTTTTTGCGTGCGGAATTCGAACCCTCGGCCCTTTGCGCTGCAACTCATTGCTAAGTCACGACGCCTAATGGCGCTTTAATATATAATTATGATGTTGATAGTGTCCTCTTGCCATTGGTAACTCCAGAATATACGGTAGCTAACAACTATGCAGATAATAGTGCTATAAGTGTACGTGCAAACCCACACGCACTCACTTGTTCTTTATAACGCTTGAGATAAAATTCGATGAATCCTAAGATGATGTGTCACTTTTAAATACGGATATCACAAAAAGCTTTATAAGCCATACTGATCCGGGGAGTGCCCTCAACATAAGAAACTTGTCTGTAACTACCAATATTTACGTAATCAAACGGGTCTTTGTCAAATATTCACGACACTTTTTTAACTTTTTCAACGTGGTAGAAGCACGCTGCAGTTTTATTATGATTTTAGCACGAATGAGTCGGATCAAACGTGTAGGAACCACGCTCTCACAGAATACCAGCGTAAAATAGCAGCTTCTTGCAGCTGTGTTTCGGATGGTGAGTGTAGATTCAGAGACCCATTTAACTGGAAACGAGATATTCCATCTTAGTCCTCAGGGGTGACAACGCCTATGCATTTTGATTCTTAATCGAGGATAGATGTAGATATCAATGAGCCACAGCATCCACTTACCATCAGGTGGACTGTGTGCTCGTTTGTCATCCTTATTCCATCTATAAAAAAAAACTTATATCCTTTTCTTTTTCGTCATCAATCAGTCTGCAAGTAGGGATTTTCCCGTTGGGAGAGTTTGCTTTCTTCACCACTCCTGGCAGGTGAATTACAATCGTCACGCGCTTCAGCAGCGTCAAGCTGCTCCTTACCAGCGGTCCAGATATCTCTAGTCTGGTGCAAGCTAGATGGTTAATATCTCCATTTATCTTTATCAAGTATATTTCGCGAATTTTCTATGGCTGCCCCTTATGACACCCTCGGGAAAAAATGGGGTAATATATTCTCCTACGCCTCCACCACACGCCTTAAACAAATACCTATATACATATAAATAATATAACATTACAGATATACACGTCTGTAATGTAGAAATAACTGGGTTCTTTTATGCTCAGGGGGTTATTTGCATGCTTTTAAGACATAAAAAACCATTTTTTATGTCATGTTTTATTGTCTGTCCGTCTGTCCAAGCTAATCGTGAAAATGGCTGAACCAATTGTGTTAAAACTTTACGAACAAATAGAGAGCAACGCCAAGAAGGATCTAGGCTATATTTAATCCCATTTTTTTTAAATAAAAATGAACAATGAATAAAACAAATTTTCTTTGATTATCTTTAGCGCAGCTTGGTAGAGCCATTCTGCGCTAACATGGTAGAGTCATGCTGCAGATATATTATGGTTGTAGCACGTATGGGTCGGCCCGACCGGGGTGGGACCACGCTCAGAATACCAGCGTAAAATAGCAGCTTAATACTGCTGTGTTTCGTATGCTGAGTGTAGAGAACCGGAGACCCTTTTTACTGGAAACGAGGCACTCCATCTTAGTCCTCAGGAGTGGCAACGCATCTGCATTTTGATTCTTAGTCGAAGATAGATGTAGATGTCTATGGGCCACAGTATCCACTTACCATCAGGTGGACTGTGTGCTCGTTTGTCACCCTTATTCTGTAAAAAATCTTAAATCTAAATAACGCTAAATCAATAGACTCTATCCAGGCGAAGCCGCGGTGAGTCACTAGTCCATAATAAAAGAAGCAGATTCTTATTAGTAAATATTCGAAACTTAGGGTTAATTTAATCGAAACAGCAATTTCGATATGCGACTACTGATTATAGGAAAGTTGTAAATTACAGCACACATACGTCCCGCTGTTTGGCACCGGCTTCCTCTTAATTCTGAGAGGGTTTTCACGGCAAGGAAGTGTTCGCGCTCTTCTAATGCGTGTTTAACATTTTATAACACATTGTTTTAACATTTGTAAAACATTTTAAAATTTCTCAGACTTGCAGTTTTCATCAAGATGTCTTCCTTTACTGAAGAACACCCGATAAATCAGCACTTAAAATTTAAATAAGACTACCGATTCGCGGAAGACAGGATTATAGTACCCGAGTGTATGCACAAGTACAAGTGCACTCACTAATCCATCACTCTCATAATTTGGAATCAGCAATTCGCTACAATGGGAAAGAGATCAGGCGCAGGACAAACGACTTAAGGCACGGAGGAAAATGGTTGACTTAAGGAATGGGGGAAAAATCCCCAACTTCCTGACTCGTGGCTACTTCTGAGAATTTCTTGATTGAAAAAGCCAATAACTTTTTTTGATTTATGCTAGACCAGGATTCGAACCTGTGACCACATAATCAACAGTCGCGCTTACGAGCATATGACTAACGATGCAGTTATTTATGTTAATATGTGGATATTAACTAATAATATGTGGATGTTAACAGTGGTAGAGCCACGCGGCATCTTTTGCTGTCGCACGAATGGGCCGGCTCGAACCGGGGTGGTACCACGACCTCACAGAATACCAGCGTGAAGTAGGGGTTTACCTCTGCGTTTCACTTGGTGAGTGCAGGTGGGCGGAGGCTCTTTTTACTGGAAATGAGGCATTCCATCTTAGTCCTCACGGGCAACGCATCTGCATTTTGATTCGCAAACGAGGATAGATGTAGATGTCTATGGGCCGCAGCAACCACTTACCATCAGGTGGACTGTGTGCTCGTTTGTCACCCTTATCCTATAAAAAAAAATATACCTAGAAACTATAGGACTTCATAAGTTCTATTTCTTGTATAAAAATATTTAAAAATGCAATTTTAGTACTATTTATATTATTTTTTCTAATGCAAACAATGAGTGACAATAAATGGAAAAGAAAATCTGTGCCCTTTATTTAAAAAGCTTCGTACGTTCAAAGGTTAAAATATATTTGTGTTAATCATTTCAAATTCAAGGATATAAAAAAAGTAAACTCAACTGACAATGACGACTACATAATACGGATATCAAACTAAAACGTATGCTGATAGGAATAGTACAAGTAATACTCGAAGGTATATCAAAAATATAGACAAAAACTTTTCTCCTTGGGACCTCTTATTGTTTTATTTCTTAACATATTGCATTGAAAGAAGGCAAACTTTGAATAAACTAGTTTTACTTAGAATAGTCTACATAAATAAATTGCACAAACCCAAATATCCAGACCCAGGTCATTTATTTTAGGGAATAGAAACTCTTATTCGGCGCGGGACTGAACTCGCGGATCTATAGTGCTGCAGCCAAACGCTTAGCCACTGCGCTACGGTGACGTCATTTATTTTATTACGGATTATAAATTGTTATGTACCCGATTTATTGATAATTTAATTGTGCATTGTTTATGTTTTTGTTTATTATAGTATTTTTGTACCTAATAATTGTAAGTTTATAACAAATAGCTGTTTTTAAAATACATTGATTTATCCTGATCGGTATTTTTACTCTATCCAAAAGTACAATCAATCCAAAGTATTAATAAAAAGTTTTATAATGTTTTATTTTATTTCGCAAAATCGTTCAATATGGAGACCTAACTTATATTAAAGTATCGATAAACACACTATATCGATAAGATTATTCGCCGTTATATGATTACAGTTTTATTATATAATTCAAATAGATTATCAGCATAGTTTGATAAAAGTTAAATGTTATGTCTTCATGTGGGTAGGATAGCATGGGTACCTAAAACGTAGTGATGCACTTTAGTAATTATATACTCTTTGATGGCGAGTATATCACTCAACTTTGCTTTGTTGACGATTTAGTTATTATGACAGAATCGCTGGAGGAGCTGAACATTAACCTTACATAGAACACAAAGAAGGCATGGTCATGTGTAACGTCTATGTCACACCTATGGTGTAGTTGTTGAGAGCAGTGTGCTTGAAGTTGTTGCGTAGTATGTTTACCGTCACCGTTACTGTCCAGCAAAGGTCCACACCCCCCATATGTTACTTCATAGGAGGATATTTAACATAGTTGCCACGCTTGGTAGGTGAGTTGGTAACTATATTTTTTTAATTTTTAACGCTGCTGCCAATCTCCTGATTTGTTTCTCTCTGTCGCCTATTACGATAACCACAAGGCGATATGGGATAGCTGATATTTTTACACCGCTATTACACGGTCACGAGTTTGTTTACTTAGTACAAATTGTCAGTCAGAACGTACAGTGAAATTTACCGCGGGTGCTTAGGCCCTGAGCTACCACGGCTGATTGTTGATTGTGAGTGAAGCCTTCCTAATACTCATTTTGAATTCAAAACTGTTCGTTAGTTCTTAGTCAATTGCATACATGTTCGAAGAAAAGTTTAATTATTGGTTAAGGGCCTAGTACATC